TCTCTCTCTCTCTCTCTCTCTCTCTCACACACACACACACACACACACACGCACACACACGCACACACACACACACACACTCACACCCCCATACTCAGTGCAGTCAGGAAGAGAGGTTCTGATAACAGGAAGTCAGGGAGTACATCCTGAGGTCCCCAAGAACTTCCGGGCACTGCGACCTTGACGCCAGAGGCGGTGTGGTTGGGGGTTACAGGGTACACAAGGAACACACTTCATGGCAGAATAATAATAATTATTATAATAACAATATCATACATCCAGGACAAACCCAGCTGCCCCAAGCCTGCTGCAAAGTCCATATGTTCAGTAGAGTACAGTGGGTAGAGAGAGGGCTTCCCACCTGCACCCCCAGGCCTTATTCATACCAGTTCTCTGAGGAGGGGCCGGCCCCTCCTCCTGCTCCCTGATGAGACTTGGCACATGGTAGGAAGGCTGGCACTGCCAACGCCACTGCTCTGTGTTGGGCATGCCTGCACAGGGGGCATGGGGGAGGCCCACCTCCGCCCAGTGGCCTGGCTGCAAGGAATGGGTAGACGAGCTGCGAGGGACCAAGTGGTGGCAGCTGTGGGGCATGGCTATTCTGAGCCCCTCTCTCCCGCCTCCTGGCTCTTCCCACGGGCCTGCCCGTGGCAGGAAGGGGCCAGGGACACTCACAGTATAGACAGGGCATGCAGAGTGGGCCCATGGCATGCTTGGCCCGCCAGGTGCCATGCAGCCAGCCTGGACTGTTGGACAACTGTCAGAGGGCCGAGTGGTCAGTGGAGTCCAAGGGGCCCCCCTTGGGCTGGGCTGATGATTCAGTCTGTGGCAGGGCCTCTTGGGAGTTGGGCCGTTGGGCAGGCAGCTGCAGAAATTCTGGAAGCACCAGGTCCTCTTTGCGCAGAAGGCCCCTTTGGTCGTGGGCTCCACTGCATTGTACCCGGTTCATCAGTTCCACCAGGCCTAGGGGTGGCCACAAAGTCAAGGGGCCCACCCACACAGACTCGCCCATGCTATTGCCACAGCCTCTCTGCCCCAGCACCAACGCTGCCTCACTGCTCCCCCGCCCCCAGCCCGATGCCAGCCTGCTGGTCCCCCAACCCTGATGCCCTCTAGCCCTCCTTTTCCAGCCCAATGGCATCCAGTTCACTGATGCCACCTTCAATGGTCCCAGCCCATCTGGTCCCCAGTCCCCACCATCTCCCATGTACCTTCAATATCACAGGTCTGTCGCTTCGCAGTGACACTACTGGGCACCTCGGCCAGCGAGTTGAGGGGCAGTGTTGGGGGATGAGTGGCTTTGTCCTGGGTTTTAGGCGGGCCTCCCTGCAAGAACGTGGGGTCAGAACCACCAGGAGGGGAGGTGCAGCAGGCAGAAGAAGGCACCCCGCCTCTCACTCACCTGGCTGCGGCTGGGGGATGTGTCCCGGGATTCGGAAATCTTCGCACCTGCGGCAGAGAGCACCACCTTTGGTGTTTGCCTCCCCCTTGTACCCTTTTACTCCTGGGCCAAAGCCGTCCTCGAGACAAACCCCAGGCCAACATTCTCTACCTACCTGGAAGAGTGTGCAAAACCAGTCTCTGGGCCGCCACCGAGCTCACTAACTTCCCTAGATCCAGCAGCTGCTTCTCACCTGGCTACGGAATAGGTCAGCAGCCCGCGCGACAGGCAGCCCGCTCCCCACCGCCCCGCCCCGCCCCGCCCCTGCCCCAGGCCCGCTGCCCCATGGCTCACCCGGCACAGCGCCACCTGTTGCAGGCTCAGGCCGTGCTTCGCCAGGATGGGCTGCAACGCCTCCTGCAGCTGCTTGGTGGGCTTGGCCGAGATCCGCACCACGCGCTGCAGCGCCGCCAGCTCGAGCCTGCACGGAACGCTCTGGCTGCGGGGTGGCAGAGAGCCCACCCCACCTTTGCCCCAACCTACCCCTGTCAGCCCCAGGAGGGGTCGGAGCCTGCACGGGGGAGGAAGGCCAGCTTACGGGTGGGGCCCTTGCCTAGGGGACGAGAGTAGCGCAAAGGGCGGGACCTGCAGGGAAGAACAGCAGCTTGAACACGACCCCCACCCAACCCAAGTCTGGCGGGCGGGGCACTCACTCGAAGGTGATTCTGTTCTCCAGCCGCACTTCCTGGTCCGCCAGCACAGTGCAGTCCTGATCCAGGACCAGGGCCTTCTGCAGATGCCAGGCAGGGTCTGAGTCCCACTCCACCCTCGCCCACCAGTTATCCCCGCTCTCCAAGGAAACCACCTTCACTTCCTCAGTGGCTGCCCTAAGGGTCAGAGGAAGGGCTGATGGGCAGGTGAGCTACAGGGATGTGGATAGAGTAGAGACCAGGCTGGAGTCTGAGCCTGGCATGACCATGGCCACGGAGAAGGGTGGCACGAGTGCTGGACAGACTTGCAAAAAGAACAGTTATGAGAGACACGGGGTGAGGTGGTCATGAGATGGTAGTGGGATTGCTTGGGTAAGGGGCAGGCTTAGGTCCTGGATCACAGGGCATCTCTTCCTGGCCGGAGATAGCTTCTGCCTCTTGGACAGCTGCTTCTTGTCCCTCAAGCACGTGAAACCTGCCCAGACCAGCTGGATGTATTTCCTCCCTCACCACCCACCTTTGGTCAGCCACCCAAGCCTTGTCTCTTTTTGGACACGTGTCCACTTCTCTCCATCCCCACATACTACTGGCACTTCTTGTCTCCTCACTGCAAAGAGGGCTCTTCCCCCCAAAACCGCTGTGAAGACAGGAGAATGTGAAGTGTCTGGCACAGTGCCTGGCACACAGTAGGTACATAAACAGTAGTTGTAGTGATTACCGCCCCCAGAGGCCCTGTTGCCTGCACCAGCCCCGAGCAGGGAGGCAGCCTCTCCCCTGCCACAGGCCTGTGCTGTGCTGCAGGGACAGGTGGAAGGTGGGTGGTGAAGTTATATTTAGCAGACGTGAAAGCTCATCTGTGCTCGGAGGCTGCCCGGGGGCCTGAGAAAATGGGCAGAGCTCTTCCCACTGCTGCCCTCACACTCCCACGCTCTAGGCCCCCAAACATGCCTTGCACTTCTTACCCATCTCCAGGCCTTCACTTAAGCTTTTCCCTATGCCTGGAATGTCCTCCCTTCACGGCTCTGACATGCAAACTCCTCCTCATCCTCATCAACTGCTACTTCTTTCAGGAAGCCTTCCCGGGGCCAACCAGAAATGCTTGCTTCACCCCAGGAACTCTCTGGAGGTTCAAGTCCTCCCTGATCACAACCTGCCTGGCTCACCTCAAGCCAGTGGTCCTGGAGGACAGATCTCAGGCTTAGGTCCCTCTGCCCACCTACCTGGCAGGGCCTCAGAACTGTCTACTGGGTGAATGAAATCCTGACGGGTCTTCTGGGATGCAGCATCCTTCCTTTGGATCCCCCTTACTGGATGGTTTAGTTTAGTGAGTTTCCCCTAGACTCCTCTTCAAAGTTATGCTAGTTTGCACCCAAGGGAAAGTTTTTCCTAGATTAGGTGCAGTCGGGTGTTCTTGGTGGCTGAGGAGGTGAGGGCTCCCCCAAATGGTCATTTCTGGGATGGGCAGTCTGAGCTTGGAGTAAAGGGGTTGGAGGATGGGACGGACCAGCTCCAGCAGTGGTTCTCCTACACTGCCTTCCAGAGAGGATCACAGGGAGGAAGACAGGCAAAGCAGGAAAACAGAATGGAGGTGGGGTGGGGGTGGGATTTTAGGGGGTTAAGAGTAGATATCTGAGTTTGAGGGAGGAGTTGATGCTGGGTTGATTTGGCATTTGACATGGAAGGAGGGGCAGGGTGGAGGAGGGGCCGGAGTTAGGAAGAGGGTGAGAACAGGGGATGGGGTTGAAATTAGGGTTTGTCCAGGGGATTAGGAATGGAATTGGGGTTGAGGTCATAGCTGAGCAGAGACAGGAATGGGGAAGGGATGAGGATCAGGAAGGGAGTTAAGAGTTGGGGACTAGGCCAGGTTCGCACCTGCTCATTGCCCACCAGGTAGACCTTGATGTCAGGTAGAGAGAGGCCACGTTTCTCACAGATGCCTGCCAGCATGGCACGGATGGTGAGGCCAGGTCGGGCCAGGGCCAAGGAGGCTGTGCCATCGGGCAGGTATACGCAGCAGTACTTCCCTGGCCGGCTTTCGCTCTCACCTTCTGAGCTCCCAAGGCTCTTCTGATGGCTCTGAGTCAAGGCAGGAGTGGGGGGAGGTCATGTGTACACATGCAAGGACATGCAGACTGGAACACAGACGAGTAAATTCACTGGGACACACACGTGCGCACATGCGCAAATACACCCAAGAGCATACCTGTAGGCAGGCAAGATTGCCCTCCTACAGGAACACGTGTAATCACACAGGCATGTGGGCACCCACTGACCCCCACATGCACTGTGTTCATCTGGGCACCCACACGTGCATACTCATCAGCTGAAAAGGATGTGCACCCATGACATGCATGGGGACAATGTGGTGAAGACAGGAAGAAAGTAAGGAGGCTGAGGGGTTGGCTGTGGGGAGTAAGGGAAGGAGACTAAGTGGAGATGGTAACTGAGAATGATGGCGGCCACACAAAGGGGCCTGAGTAGTGGCCCTAGCCCGCATTTCATCTCCCTCGCAGTTGCTCACCTCAGATTTGCTGCTGACGAAGGCAAGGAAGCCAAGGTCCAGACTGGCCGAGGAGTTCAGGGAGCCCTGGGACTCTCGTCGCAAAGCCGAGTTTGCTGCCGTACCCGCTAGTTCTAGGGAGAGGGAGAAATGAGCAGGGCAGCCCCCTGCCCCACCCCACCCCTCTACTGAGGCCCTTGCCAGCCGGCGGACCCTGTTGGAGCTCTCCTGCATGGGTCTAACGTGGTTTGGGTTCCCGCAAGCGTCGCTACTGAGGGGGCTTCCCAAACTTCCGGGGTTTAGCCTGGAATTCAAACACGGTGGTCACAAGGACCTGCATTTATTTCAGTTTTCACAGACTTACGGACTGTAAGAGAAGTAGGAGGAAGGCGGCATTCTCAAGAGTTGCCCAAACTCCCGCCCCCACTCTGCTCTGTGGCCCACTTCTGCCCTCACCCCTGCGGAAAGACTTGCGGAGCGGGCGGCCCCCAGGGCCCTCAGCGGGCGGCAGCTGCCCCAACTCCTCCACACCCAGCGGCAGTGACTTCCCGGGCTTCAGCTTCGGCTTCTGCGGGTACAGGGAAGACGCTGGCACCAGGCCGGGACCTAACCCGCACGCAGACGGTGGGCGACCCCCGCAGATCTGCACCGGCCCCCTGCCCGCGACAGCCCCTGGTCGGCACCTTTCTCGTAGGGTCTGGGCTGCGGAGGCGCGAGGAGCCGGGTTCCCGCAGGGGGCGCCCCTCGGCCTCCGCCAGGAGGCACTCGCGGTACAGCGGGGACTTGACGAAACGCGCATAGCTGTCGAACTTCATCAAGTTGAAGATCTGCGGGCGGGCGCCGGGGTGGTGAGACAAAATCCCAGACGAGGCCCCCGGGGTTGACCGCGCTCTCACCTTGGCTAATCCTTAGCCCCTTCCATCCCCTTCCAAGGCCCAGGCCCCGCCCCTACTCTTTTCTCCGCCTACACCTCTGCTCGCCCCCTCCCTTGGCCCCCTCCTTTGGCCCCTCCCTTGGCCCCTCCTACAGCCTCTGGTATCTACCTCTAACCCACTCCCTGTGCCCTCATTTATTTGGCTTGGTACCCACACCCAAATTTTCCCCCTATCCCACCCCACCGCACTCCTTATCACCCATCCCACGCCGCTCAGGCTCAGCCTCTGGATCTGGCCCCGCCTCTGCTCCACTGAGCTCCCTTCCAAGGCCACGCTCTCTCACCTGCAGCTGCTGTTCTCGAAACATATCTGGTCGGGGCTCAGCCAGTACCTCTTCGCCAAGCCAGGCCTGCCGGTCGATGTTCACGGGGCTCAGTGCCTGGCTAGACAGGAACTCCTCGTAGATGTTGCGGGCCTCCTGAGCTAGCTAGGGCACGAGGGTCAGGAGATATCAGAGGCACTGCCCAGGCCCTGGTCCCACCTCTCTGCCCCAGCTCCTCCTTCCCCTACCTGCTGGATGTCGCTGGCAGGGATCTGCTGGAATCGCTCGCAGGCCTTCCAGAAAGTCAGGTTCTCGGCACTGAACTCTTTCTTCAGGAACTCCTGGGGTGGGGGTGGGGGGGTGGGGAGAAGGAGGAGACAGTCAGAGTCACAGAGACCCAGTTAGGGGATGTGGTCAAAGAGATTGGAATAGAGACATAGGGCGAAGAGGCCAAGCCAGACAGACAGATGGGGCCTTATCCGGAGGCACAGGGAGAAAATGAGAGGCAGAAACAAGGACAGAGAGAAGCAAAGTTCCTAGCTGGGAGAAGAGGAAGAGGATGCCAAAGAAAGGCTGGAAGAGGCAGCTGACAGCGGAGTCCCACTGGCCAGCCTGAAGCTCCATCCATGCCCTCTCCCATGCCCCCCTCCCCTGCACCTTGTAGTGGCTGGCCACTGCTGTCCACCCTCCCTATCCCACCCCAGGGCTTACAGTGAAGTAAGCCAGGCCCAGCTGGTCCTGAAGCAGCCGCTCGAAGGACAGGCCCCAGCTGGCCACAGGCTGCTCCTCAGTGGGGAAGGGGCTGCTGGGGCCACTGGGGAGGCTGTGGATGCTGAGGGAGCTGCCTCGGCCCTCACCCTGGCCCTGGGGCCCTGCCGTGCTGCTTAGCTCTGCAGAGAGATAGACAAGTAGAGGTGAGCCTTGTGGCCTTCCCCAGCCTTTGGCCCGACCCCATCTGCAGATACTTTCCATGGAAAGATAGCAAGTGGCAGGGGTATCCTTACCTCATTTTCACATACACTATCCCCACTCCCAGCCAGGCTTCCTCCCCACACCGTCACTTACCTCCATCTGAGACAGCCAGAACCTACAAGAGACCCGAGATAGAAAATCAGAGAAAATCAGAGTGGATTCTCAAAGACAGTTCTGGGCCCGGCCCCCAGGCCTGGAGCTGTGTCTTCCTCTGCTCAGAGGAGGCCATGTTGGGCTTTCTCAGTCAGGTCACTGCTTACTCAAGGTTTTACTTAGGCTGTTCCCAGCTCCCCTTCCATCATGTGCCAACCCCTGTATGCTTGGACTTATGCCTGTTGTCCTCTAGTTGCCCTTGGCTCCCTCTTCCTCCAGCACCTGCTGGGTGAGCCCAGGTGTATATATAGCATGGTGGGTAGGAGCACAGACTTTGAATCCTGTCTCTGCTACTTATTAGCTGTATGACTCGTTTGTCTCCATCTGGAAATGAGGATGATGATAACAATAGTAATTTACTTTCTGGGGCTGTCGTAAGGACCAAATCAGTTTAAAGTTTTTGCAACATCTGGAACAGTGGCCAGCATGTGGGAAACGCTGTATCCATGTTTGCTGTTGTCTTTGAGGAAGGAGAGGTGTCTCTGGAGCTGATGATCTTTTTGCAACTGTTTCCTCTTGGGGCCTAGGGTCTCCCTTGGGTCCCTCTGCATGTCCTTGGGGAGGGCACAGGATGCTATTTTATAGTACAGAGCAGTGGTTCTCAAATTTCAATGTGCATTAAGATGACTGGGTGGGCCATCACCTGCAGTGATTCAGGTTCAGTAGGTCCAGGATGGGGCCTGAGACTCTCCATTGCTAACAGATTCCTAGGCGATGCTGCTGCTGCTGCTGCTGCTGCTGGTCCATGGACCACACCGTGAGTAGTAGTGCTGTAGAGGCCAACTCCATCTTTCCCCTCCCCCTAACCCCACAATTCTGGCTTCTCTGGGAATCCCAACTATTAGTAAAACAGAAAAATCCTCCTTTCAAAATGACTCTTGCTTAGTCTTCCTACCTTTCTAGCAGCTCCTGCAGCTTCCTCATCATTTCCCACCCATGTAGCGTGGCTTCTACCCCTTCCTGATTCTGTCCTGGGCCCTTTCTCCCACCCATGTCTCCCCAGCTCCAAACACTCATAGCCAACTTCCTGCTAACATCTCTGCCCAAATGTCCCACAAGCCCTTCAAACTCAGTCGTTCCCAAATGGAAGCCACCACAGCAGGGCACCCAACCAGTTACCCTGCATTTCGTCTTTCTTCCCATTGCCTGAACCCCCAGCATCAGGGCTTGATTCACCCCCAATCCCTCCCTCTCCTACCTCTTACATTTTCACTAGGCCCTGTCATGGGAGCTTCTGCCACCTGCCCCTTCTTTCCATCTCCACTGGAAACAGGTCTGCAAACCCCCCTTCCCTCAGGAAGCCTCTCTCTGCCCTCCCAGCTGCAATCTCCTTCTCTGCTCCCCGCTCGCTTCTAGGGCACTCAGGTGACACACAAGTGGGCTGGAGCCAGCCTGCAAATATGTAGGACATTACTACTATCTTGGCCCTCAAAACGTTTTCCTTTTTAAGTTTAAAGAGGTTTCCCACATTTTAAAATCAGGAGTTTTATGGAAAATCCCAGCTTTATCTCCCCTTTGAGACTGTAATGCCGCAGCTACCCTGAGCTTCTTCCAGGATGGCAACCTTGGCTGGCACTGAGCAGCAACCAGTGCCTAGAAGGGGCTCAGGCTTTCCTCAGTGGTCTCTGGGGCCAGTTTGATGCATATTTATTACTTATGGAGACAGGCACTGCCTTGGACTGCATGAGTTCAAATGTCTACTTTGCAACTTTGGACAGGGTACTTCACCTCTCTGTGCCTGTTTTTTCCTCAATATAAGTGGGGCAGATAATGGTCCTGATTTCAAAGGGTTGCTGTGATTAAATAAGTTAAATATATATAAAGAACTCAGAACACTAAGTGGCATGTGTAAATATTCAAGGAACATTACTATTGTTGTCATTGTTATATTAGTGTTGGTGTCTGACCCTGATTCTACTTTCGAGTTTGCGAACCTTGCCATAGAGCAAAAAGCTCTCAAGTGTCAGGGTCTGTCAGACCCAAGTTCAAATCTCAACCCTGACCTTTTCTAGTTTCATAACCGTAGGATCCTCCCTGAGCCTGTCTCTCACCTGGAGCACTGGGATAAAATGTTGCTGAGGAGGAGGGAAAGTTTGCACAGGGCATGGTTGGGCCTGGAACCGGCGGTCCCTGGCATGGCCTGCCCCCTACACCCTGCTCCTCCAGCCTCTGTTCTCCCCCATCTGACAGCTTTATCTAACTCATCTCCCAAGGCTGCAGGAGAAAAATCCCAACTCCTGGGGTGTGTGAGGACAATGGTGTCCCTTCCAGCTTATTCTCTCCCTTCCTCATCCTGGCACCTGCACGCCCAGGCTGCTCTGCGGCTGTTCCCAGACTTAGCCCCACCATCTGTGCCTTCCCTCAGGTCTCGAGACCCACTCTGACTCTCCTCCCCATGGCCCACCTGGCCCTGCCTCCTTCTGCATTCAACTGTCTTTCTCTGGCTTGCCCTCCGACCCAGGACTCAGCCTCTCCCTTGCTTAAAACCCACCATGGCGGCTGGGGCAGGCCAGGACCCTGGAGAGGGCAAAGAACCCTGAGCTGAAGCCAGCCCTCACTCCAACTTTGCTTTATTTTTTGCATTAGCTCAAATAGATTTTCTGCATCTTTAGGTGGGGCCAGCTCACAAGTCCTCCCCAGGGACCACTCCCTGCCCTGGGAGGCAGAGCAGGTGCTGGGTTATAGCTGGAGCTCTGCCTGGGCCTGGCTAATGAACCCCTCCAGCACCTGCTTCCACCCTACCCTTTATCAAACTTCTTTGTTTTCTCCGCACCCCTACTCCACCTTCCTGCTTTGCTGTTTCCTCTGCCTGGGTGGGTATGTACCCCTGCTCCCCCACCCAACAGATCTCCAATCTCTGCCCATTGATATAAGTCACCTTCAAACACTAGCTGCCCCAAATCCCCCTACTCGCTAAGCTTCTGCCCACTCATGTCTGGGCCTCTCTCCTCTGCAAGTCGGGTGGCTCCCGGAGGGCCAGGTCTGGTTTGTAGGAGGGAACCAACCCAAACTTCCTCCCACGAAGCACCCTCCTTGTCCTGGTGTTTCCAAGCAGCCATCAGGGCCCTGAGCAGCCTTTTTCTCCCCTCCCATGTGACCCCAGCATGCCCCACCAGGTGATGAACACCCCAAGTCTGCAGCCTGCAGTTCACCTTCCTGAGCCTCTCTTACCCCATTGTTTGTTGGTCTGCATGGTTGGAGCTGAGAGGGGTAGGGACCAAGATCCAGAGGTGTCCCCTGGATCAGGGAGGGGACAGGGATGGAGTTCCAGTTCCAGTTTCATTCCCAGGCAAGTAACTTTCCTTCTCTGGGCCTCAGTTTCTCCCTAGATAGCATGGGGCTCAGCATTCCCAACCTGCTGGAGCTGCTGGGAAGGGCAAACGAGGCCCGTATGTGAAAGCAACAGGCATGCAGCGGTCAGGGGCTCCGCTGACCTTATGCTGATGCCTCTGACTGGGCTGCAACCTGCCCGGGCTCCCATGCCTAGGGAAATTGTGCCAAGCAGGGCTGGCCTCGCCCCACCCCAGCCTGCCTGAAGAGAAGTGGCAAGTGGATGAGAGAAAAGGGGAAGGGAGGATGAGGAAGGGTGTGGTGGCCAGCGGCACTCCTGACCCACGGTTTGGCCTCAGTTTGCCATATTTTTTCTTAGGACATGGGCCTTGGGGAGCCACTGGCATCTGAGAATTTAGACTAAGGTGAGGGCGGCCCAGCATTTCCTGAACTCCAATCGTGTGACAGGCACTCTGACAGCACCTGTCTTTGTTCTCACTCCATCCTTACATCTTGATCCTGTGTGGTAGCCATTTTTACTCCCATGTCACAAGTGAGGAAACCTAGGCCCAAAGAAGTCACACAGCTGGGAAGTGGCTGAGCCGGAATCATAATTCAAGTGTGCTTGACGCTGGAGCCTAAGGTCTTCCTTCTACTAAGCTGCCTCCCTGGGTGGACAGGAGATGTCCCATGGGATCTGGGGGAACCAGGGTCTCAGCCTTTTGGCCACAGGTAGGCAAGGTCAATTGGAGGTAAAGGGTCCAGGGGCTCATCTTGAACTCTGACCTCTGGAGGGGTCGGACGTCAAAAGGAGGCTCAATTTACTGAGCATCTTCTGTGCTGGGCACTCTGTACCATCATCTTATTTCATCCTAGCTGGGGAAATGAGACCCTGAGATCCTCTCTGGGTATACCCACAGAGTCCCCTGGGAGCCTGACCCCTTCAGCTTGAGCCAGCCTTGTGGAGCTGACCCCAGCCTTGGCCCCTCTGTAAGGTCACCCTGCCCCCCAAGGTCTGGCCCTGAGCTGAATGGCCAAGAGGTACAGTGGGCTTTGCCTTGCAGGTCTCCTTGTCAGGTGCAGAAGACGAACTGGGCCTCCTGAGAGAGACAGGACACAATAACCGCCCCTTCCCAGTGTCCCCCCACATCTGGCCCTCTTGCCCAGCCATGCCCTTCTCCAGCTGGCACACCCTTTCAGGACTCCTTCCATGCCACAGGACACCAAGTGAGCAGGGGAGGGGTTAGTCTTCCCTCCCCAGGTCTCCCTCAAGCTTTCTCTATCCATGACCAGTGGCTGTTAGTCAAATCTGAATTTTATTCTGGTTTTTGTGCCCATGTCTTTTGTGTCTTGCCAGACCGGGAGCCGCTTGAGGGCAGGGGCAGGGTGATGGGCCTGGGTCTTGAGAGCCTGGGACAGGGCCGGCATAGGGCAGGCCCTAAGGAGGGGTTGTTGAATAAATGAGTGAATGAGCAAATGAAGTGGCAGTTGGGGCTGTGTGACATCTTCGGGAGGGAGGTGGGGAGCCATCTCTAAGTGACAGGTTTCATTGCAACTGTCTGAAAAACAGAATGACAGAAAGATGAGGCTGACAAATGAAGCTGCCTCTGCAGGGGATGATGGTGGGTGGGGTGGCAGCAGGGGGAGGTGGGGGAGGACAGAGCCAGGCAACCTGGGGAGGCTGAGGAGCCCTGGCATTGAGTCAATCAGCTGGATCCCTCTGCTCACCAGCTGCCCTCAGGAAGTCGTATACTCCTCTGAGCCTCCATCAGGAGGTAATTCATGGAAGCAGCCAGGTGTCTGGCTCACAGGTGTCTCTTTCTGTGCACATCCCTGTTGCAGATGCCCATGCCTGTCTGTCTCTCCCTGTCTCAGCTGAGCATGGCCCCATAAAGCTCCTGATGACCAGCAAGTGGCCAATCTGTGGCCCTCGGGATTCCCAGAGATGGTACAGAGCATTCAGAACAACCCCAGGAGGGCAAAGATAAACCTGTGTGTGCAGGTTGCTGAGAGGAGCCAGGGTGCCCATGGGCTTGCAGGGGCTGGGGCCAGAGCTTAGGTGCCTTCCCTGCTCTGGATGATTTTGGGTAGGGCAGCCATGGTTGATACGGGCAGGGCAGGGGCTGGGTCTGTCTCTGGACCCCATGCTGCCCTGTTGGGTGGGCATGGGAATGAGCATGGTCCCCCTTGGCTTGGACACCCAAGTGTCATGCCTCTGGGTGGGAATGTGAGGCCCACAGGTTCTCGAACTTTCAGTTAGGTCGACATTAGAGACGGTAAGGTGGGAACTGACCAGCTTGGAGGGATCTCCTCTATCACCCAGCTAGCCCGGGGTTGGGCCATAAAGAAATGCTGAGAGAAGGAGAGATGGAGACAGAGCTTGAGAATTAGGAGGCAGGAGTGGGGTTGGGGGTGGCTCAGCTTCTTGGTGAGACAGGGCATCCTTGAAGAGGAGCTAAGAATGAAGGGAGGAGTTGGGCTGGCATTTGTGGAGCCCTTGCACACAATGGGTCAGGGGCCTCATATTCACCATTCCACTTAATCATCTTAATAAGTCTTCGAGATTTGTTCTAATCTCATTTTACAGCTGAAGAAACTGAGGGTCAGAGAGGATCCCCTAGGAAGGGACAACAGACCAGAGACTGGAACCCAGGTCTTCCTAGACCCATCGGCTTTGTCCCACAGTACTGGGCTGAGGCCAGGTGAAAGGCTAGGACACAGCCTCGCCTTCCTGGGGTTGTTAGGAGGAATTGGTATCCGAGGGAGAGAAGGAAGGCCCAGCGCAGCCTGCCCCAGCTACTGAATGAATAAAGAAGCTGGACCTTCCAAGGGCAGCTTTGACCCAGAGGCCAAGCAGCCAGGGAGAGGGTTTAGGAGGTGGAGCAGCAGCAGCAGCTAGGGGCATACTGGTGCCCAGCAACCCCTCCTTTCCTGGTAGCCCAGGAGTAAAAGAGACAAAAGCTGCACCAACCTGGCCTGACCCTGCTGATCCATATCAAGCTGCCCAAACACTGCTAGTTCTGGCAGATAGCCTCTGGAGCACATTCAGCTGCAGGACAGTTGACTGACCCAGTGAGGGCTGCCTCTTACCTGACCTCGGGCATCAGGACATCAGGTGAGAAGGAGAGAGCAGAGGCTAAATGAGGTATGGGGGCTTGGACCACCAAGGGAGTATGCAGGGGGCAAGGGGCATGCTAGGATGCAGGCAGCCCCAGATGATATCAAAGTAGCAGGAGAGGGAGCAGTAGGGGCTGGACCACAAGCTTGTGCCCGCTGTGCTCTGGTCTCATCCCTAGGTTGCCCCAGGTCCCCAATAGGCCAATCTGGAAGGTCCCGGGGTGAAGATACCAGGTCCTACCGCCTGCTGTTATCTGTACCCAACTTCTCCGGCCTGCTAGCAGCATGCAGGCTCTTGCCCAGCCCTGCCGGGTGTGCTCCTGGGCTCCACCCTGGGTGTGCCTACCCCTCCCCATGGGCTCGGCTTGAAGCCCGCACTCACCATGCGCCCGTTGGGGACGCCCAGATGCTTGGGCTTCCCTGGCATGCCTTTGCTGTTCACCGGTCCCCGCCTCGGGGGGTGCCCACCATGGGGACTGTGGGCAGCACCGGCCGGAGCTTGCAAGGTGGCAGGCAGGCGGCGGAGAGAGCCCGGCTCCGCTCCTGCGGGCCCTCACATCCTGAAACACCAGCTCACTACCTCTTTTCTCTGCCACAGGAAGTGTCTCTATAGAAACCGAACCACAGAAAGAAGCAAGGTCTAAGAGAGCGAACGCCTCTTCCTACACACACATACACACACACTCACACACACACACACACACACACACACACACATGCCACCAACGCAACCTTGGCAGCGCCCCACTTCAGAGTCCTCTATGTGCCCAGTGAGGAGCCCATCCTGATCTGGCTCAGCCTAGGGAGTGCCAAGGTCATGTTTGGGTACACAGAAGGGCATGTTCACACACCTAGGCACCTTTGGATACCCTGGCAGGGGCTCCCGTGGACATTTGTACATATGCACTGAGTATCCACACGTGGTCCTTACTCAGCAAACACTTATCTCACACCGGCTGTGTGCTGGGCATGTGCACACTCGGCACCCCTCCCCCAGGCAGTCGCGCCGGTGCAGTTACTACCTCTATCCCCAGACACTTCCCAAACATGTGCCCAGGTGTGCAGACAGATGGACATTCACCTTGCACACATAGTTATGCACATACAGACCATTCAGGTGTGCATGTCATAAACACACAGGCTCTTCCTTGTAGGGACCAATTAGTGTTCAGTCATATGTATGCAGTCCTGTGGATAGGTACATGTGACAGGCACACCTGCACATGTGTATACCCACACTCAACCACCCAGGCAGGGGTACAGATCAGGTGTATCTGTGCCCAAAGACACATGTGCATTCACAGTTCACTCACTTACATACAAATCCCACCTCGGTATAGCCCTGTCAACTAAAGAGTGCCACCCTGCCCTCTCAGCCTGGCCCAGTCTCAGATGAACTTGGTCCTTAGCCAGAGTCCTGAGTTTACCTCTTTCTTACCCATACATGTACCCACTACAGGACTTGTATTTTACTTTAAGTATGGACTTAGAGCCCTCAAGTCACCCATCATTCCAGTTTGGGTCCCTCTCTACGGAGACCCCCTTAGCCAGAGAAACCGACATTGACCACTCTCATGCTTAAAACCATCCCATTGCCTTCTGGAAAAAGGTCATGTTCCTCGGCTGGGTTGAAAGGCCCTTGGAGTTCTGGCCTCAGTCAAACTTTCTCATACCACTCTTGGGATGTTCCAAACTGTTTGCCTTCCTTATGCTTTCAGGCATCCACCCCTGCCTTTGCATTTCCCGTCCCCTCTGCCTGAGGCTGCCTTTCTCCTTTCTGGTAAATTACTCTTTCTTCATGACCCGATTCTAGGTTCTAAAACAAATATTCATTTTTTTGTCAATTATTTATTAATCACTCCCTACGTGCCAAGCACTGTTGCTGATGCTGGGGGTTCAGTAATGGAGGTCTAGTGGAATGTACATGTCCTTTTTGTTCAGATATGGGTAAATCTCTGGAAGGGTATATCCCTTGGGAGAGGAGTGGCAGAGGACCCTTCCCAGTGTACATATGTCTGTACTATATATATATATACGTATATATGAATGTATAATTTAATTAAAAAAGCTCATTAAAAATATATGTAAAGTAGAAAAGATGTCGATACTTAATCCTGAATAAGTTCATTCATTCAAAAGGGAAGCTCCTTAAAGTAAAATAAAAAAGCAAACAACCAAGATTCTATCCTGTGATCTGTAACAGGGGTCATTAATTCAAAAGTTAGAGGGGCCAGACAGGTGCTGTAAATTAGTGGCCAGTGTGTAGACTGCCTTAGAAGAGGAAGACATTTGTAGGAGGAACAGCCCATGGGCTTAGTGTGGTTGGATCTCCCCATTTTCCCAGAGAAACTGGAAATTTGGATTTCTAATGTGAATTTAAGATTCCTCATTTAAAGATATCGGTAGTTAAATCGTTTATTGAAATAGCATTAGGTAAAATAGAGCTCTATTTGGCGGCGGGCCATCAGTTTTCGACTTTTGATCCGCAGTCAGCTTTCCTACACCTTTCGTGGACACTTCTTGCTGTACCGGATAGGCATTACTATCGTTTGGATCTCGATGCGTCTCAGCCATTATTGGGGTCCCGAGACAGAGTCTAGGTCTGCCCTCCTGCTTAAATCCGACAGCCTTGAGGAGCTGGGAGTAGTGGACGCCCTCAAATCAGTGGGAATTCTGTCTTTAAAGGCAGGAAGGTGCGGGTGAAGCCAGAGCCAGCTAACGGCTCGCCAGGGGTGAAGGAGGTGGGGTAGGGGAGTGTCACCCAGTGAGCCCAAAACGGCGCGAGAGTTGGAATTCAGGCCTCCGTCTTAAACTCCTTTTTCCCCGGACTTGGGAAAGGTTACTGCAGGGACACGATCAATGGCCTGAGACTGAGGGCGTTGTAATCTCTGTTTGTCCCGCCCGCGCCAGCAGCCACCAAAACTACAAGTTCCAGCATGCCGCGCTTCGCAGAGGACCCTCGTGCTGCCCCCGACTCAAACCATCCCTCTGTTCTCCATTGGCTCACACACTTAACGTGCTGTTCCATGATTGGTTGTGCCTCGTAAGAACCCGTTGCTGAGGCTAGGCGGCCGGTGCGCGGGGCAGCCAAGGAGACAGAACTGCACTGGACCAGGATGGAGGCTGCTCAGCAAGTAGAGCCGCCGCACCTTCGGCTCCGAGGCTTTGCTTTTAACTCCCCGGCGATACTAGGTTTGGAGGGTTTCCGGCCGATGACCATTAGATGGAACACCCGGAAGGCGGAAGTCCTAGAGCGGAAGTGGCAGAGAGGAACGGAGAATGGCGGCGGAAGGCTGGTTTTGGCGCTGGGGCTGGGGCTGGAGGTACCCGGGGAAGCCTGGGCTTCCCGGCCCCGGCCCCGGCCCCACGACACCCCTATTTCTTCTCTTGTTCCTGGGGCGGGTGGCTGCGGATATAACTGACGGCAACAGTGAACATCTCAAGCGAGAACATTCGCTTATCAAGCCTTACCAAGGTGAGGCCTGGGCGGGGATGAGTGCAGGGTGAGGGCAAGGCAGCACAGGCTTGAGGAAGGGGGTGCCCTTTCTCCCCAGCAGAGTAACTCTGTGGGTTTACTGACTCTGGCGAGGTTATTTCTGGCATAGCCTTTTACACACCTGTCTGTGCCTGTCTCTACTCACAGGAGTCGGTTCCAGCTCCATGCCTCTTTGGGATTTCCAAGGCAGCACTATACTTACGAGCCAGTATGTGCGTCTGACCCCTGACGAACGCAGCAAAGAGGGCTCTATCTGGAACCATCAGGTGAGTGGTTTGCCAGAGGTCAGGCATACCCTTAAGGCTTGCCCCTCCATCCCTCCTTTCCCATCTTGGTCACACCAGTAATAACAGGTAATGTCTATTGAGGCTACTATGTGTCTGGAGCTGTGCTTGACACTTTACACCCTTCTCACTTAATTCCTTTAAAACCCATGTGAAGTAAGTGATGTTATTTCCATTTCACTAAGAAGCTAAGGCTCAGAATTGAAAATGCCTTACCTAAAGTCACATAGCCAGTAAGTAGTGGAGCTGTCAGGCTGTCTGAATTGAACTGTCTCAAATAGTGAAATACATGGAAGGAATGGGATCTTTATTGGATACTTTGCTGTATATTAGGCACTGGCTTTAAGACGCCTTATTTCATTTAATTCTCATACAGGCTCTTTGAAATAAGTGGCTATTGTGATTTTATGCAGCGCTAACAGTGAATAATTCCACATAAACAGAATTTAAACTGATCTATCTGATCTCCAAGCCCAGCAAATCACTCGCTACACTTGACCCCCTTCCCCTGGACGGTGAAGGAACCCCTTAGAAATACTTGCAGACTCAGCCCCCTTCCCCAGTGCTTGATTGAGGGTCTTGTTATCAGTGATATGGAGGAGTTGGACTTGTGGACAATTTCAGTTTCTGTGACCTTTGCTTCAGAGGTCAGGGACCCTCAGGTGTCATTGGCACGTCACACATAAGCAGTGATGAAGATCAGTTGCCACACAGACTCCACACTGAGAGAGTCTAGGTCAGGAAAGGGGTGAAAGGGGAATAATTGAGGCTGGGTCACAACTTGGAGCAAAACTTGCTCCTGCCCCAGCCTACCTGACTTCAACCCTTTCTGTGCCTGAGGTATTGGTCATTTTCCTAGTTTTCTCTATCACCCTGCTCTTTGTCCCTTCTGGTTGATGCCCCCATTTAATAATGGGAGCCCATACTGTTCTCGTGTTCCCTCGTCTGCCTGTTCCCTCAGCTTCCTCTCTTCGTATTGCTAGGGGCATCTGGGGTTACTTTCCTCAGTTTTCACTCTGATCCTCAGAGCCAGGGATCGTCTGTGAAGGGGTAGACGTGCATTATGTCTACACATTATGGCCCCTGGTGCCTGGCATCTCGTCATTCGCTTTGTAGATTTTGTTCCAGCCTCTCTGGCTTCCTTCTTGCCTCAAGACCTTTGCACTTGTTGTTCCTTCTGTCTGGGACACTGCCTCCTGGCTCTCCATGTCTGCTTGCCTTCTTCTCATCTGTTAATTCTCAGCTCAAGTGCCGCCCACTCAGAATACTTCAATAACTACCCTATCTCCCCTAAGTCACATTCTGTCACATTATTCTGTCTTAAGACTTTCAAAAAATTTTTAAAAATGATAATGTAGCCTTATATTTTTTATGAAAATGAGTTCAGTGTAACGGTTTTTTGTTTGTTTATTTGTTTATTTCTAAGTAAGGTACAGATAGTGCTGGAACTGTTGGAAATCAGATTCAGTCACAAGTAACTTAATTATGGTCGTAGGTAGCTGGTGGTCGGCATTGTCAGTGGTGTGGCAGTGTCACAGTGCTGACAGGATTCTGCACTTCATTGAATTTTTGCAGTCTGGAATATGATTGCCTTGTCTTCCTTCCCCTACCTCCCCATGCAGCTCCAGGGACGTTTCTTATTTGGCCCAGCAGATATTCCCTAAAGAGTTGGAGTGTTACCTGTAGTTCTTGAAAGAAATTGCTTGGAACTCTTAGAATTTTCTGCCCAGTGTTTCCCAGGATTCACCTCTTCCTTCAATGGGCTAGAGAAAGGTGCTTTCTGGACTTCTCTCTTTTTTGTGCCCTTTACTCAACTCGGTCTGGGAAAGGCAGCAAATTAGCAAATACTACCGGGTACCTGCTGTCTTCCCAGCAGAGATAAGACAGTGCCTGAGGTGGCGATGGGGCGGAGCGGTCTGGGTGAAGGAGTGTGGCCAAGCGGCAACTTGAACTCCAAGTGCCTGTTGGCTGGAGCACAGTACACAGGGGGCGCTCGAGGGACTGGTCCCACCTGTTCTGAGGGCCCGTCTTCCTATAGGCTGCAGCATGGTGTTTAACCTTTTTTTGCTGAGGTACTGTCTGAAGATTAGCCTGTCGTATTCCTTTGTGACTAAAATAAGTGTAATAATTTAAACTTTTTAACTTTGTTGAGACCTTGAAACTAAGTTTTAATATTTTCTTTGAGAGTATTACCAGTACACAATTGATCAAAGTAAACGCATTACACAATTTTTGAAAAATTATTATAGAGAAGTGAAAATTTACTGGAATGCATCTCAGTGAGCTGTCATCCTCCCACCCCGTCTGAATGGATGTTATTGTCAGAATGAAACAATCCTCAGCCCCATTTCTGCTTTTTGTTTTTATAAATGTGAACACTGAGAATGTGTTCACTAGATAGTTAGATGGAGACGCAGGAAGTTTTATTATAGCAGGGTTACTCAGTTTTTTGAACTTCTTTTCGTTTATAAACCCCAAATCTTGGAGTGCTCTATCACCAAAAAACTTTAGTGGTATCAGCTGACTGTTGGATTCACTCTGCTTTCTACTGTGTTGCCAGCAAAGACCTGGAAACCACCCAACTGTGAAGTGCTCTGTGATTGCCAGGTGATTCTGATTTCGTTGGCCTAGGGGACAGCAGGGGCATTAAGATTTCTAAGCTCCTCCCCTGGTGGCTGGGCTGTGCAGCCAGGCTGGAGAACCATGGCGATGTCTTGTTCTGCCCCCAAAGCAGCGTCTAAATCAGTTCCAGCCTTTACATTAACTGCATAAAATCCTTCAGAGGATTTATGTTGTCTGTATTGTAATATTTCTGCCAATCTATAGTCTTCAATCTGTTGTGCGTGGAGACTTTCTAAGGCCTGGTTAGTCTTGAAGGATCAGATTCCAGGCCCTCAGCTTCTGCATGTGCTTTTTCTTAAAACTGACCTCCCTGTGAACATGGTAGGGATAGGAGGGGAGGTTTTCCATTCTCACCTCCCTGTTCACAGTTGCCCTTCTGCGCAGAGGCACACCTTGCATCCTCTTGGGGTCTTATCTCAGTGTGCTATTCCCAGGTGCAGAGAATTCCTGGGCACCAAAGAGATCATTTGGAACCGGGCTTCTGGACTGACTGTTGTTATGTGAAATATGTTTTTAAATGTTTTTTTAGGGTTATTATTGGTGTCCAGTTTAATATCATCATGGCCAAGGAACATACTGTATGATTTCAGTCTTTGGAGGCCTGTTGAGACTGGCAGACGGTCCCTCACACGGTCATGTTTGAGGGAAACATTCTGTGTGTGCCTGCAAAATATTTGGCTTGAGTCAGTGTGCCATTTTGGTCCTTAGGTCAAGTTTGCTGATTGGGTTCAAATTTCTATATCCTTCCTGCCAATTTTGTTCACTTTTATGAGTTACTAAGAGAGGTGTGTTAACATCTCTGTGTGTGGATTTGTTTTTATCTTTTGTAGTTCTGGCAGCTTCTGCTATATGTATTTTGAGTCCAAAATTTTTCTGGTAAATGGTATCTTTTGTCATTAAGGAGAGTTGCCTTTTAGACTTTGTTATTGGAATAGCTGCACCAGCTTGTTTTTGGTTAGCATTTGCATGCTGTATCTTTTTCTGTTCTTTTTTACTTTGTTTTTTTTCCATTTCTTTATGTTTTAGAATTGTCTCTGATAAACAGCTTATAATTAGGCTCATTGGGGGTTTATTTTTATTGTGGTAAAATACATATAACATAAAACTTACCGTTTTAGTCTTATTTTTTTTAAATCAGTTTATTTATGAAACCATCTCTTCAGTAAGATACTCTTCTGCATTGAAACCGTTTTTTAAAATGCAGCGGCTCTCAACAAAAATTAGTTTTGATAACTGTATTTATGTATTTGTGCATGTGAAAGAAAATTCCTCAATTTTTTTTTTATTGTGGTAAAATATACATAACATAAAACTTAACATCTTAACCATTTTCGAGTGTATACAGTGGCGTTAAGTACATTCACCTCTTACAGCCATCCCTGCCATCCGTCTCCGGAACATTTTCCTAAACGGAAACTGTCCCCATTAAACAGCAACTCCCCACTCCTCCGCTGCCCCCACAGCCCTTGGCAACTAGCATACTCCTTTCTGTTTCTATGTATGAACAATATTCCTCCGTGTGTGTGTGTACACACCACATTTTGTTTATCTATTCATCCGTTGATGGACTTGAGTTGTTTCTACCTTTTGACTGTTGTAAATAATGCCGCTATGAACATGGATGTATGTGGGTGTCTGTCTGTCTGCTTTCTCTTCTTTTGGGTGTATACCTAGGAATTGCTGGGTCATTTAGTAACTGTCTTTAACCTTTTGAGGACCACCAAAGTTGTTCACAGCAACTGCGCCATTTTATATTTCTACCAGCAGTGCACAGAGGTTCCAATTTCTCCACATCCTCATCAACACTTGTTATTTTCCGTTTTTATTTTTATTTTTATAACAGCCATCCTAATGGGTGTGAAATGGTATCTTGTGGTTTTGATTTGTACTTCTCTAATGATCAATGATGTTGAGCATCCTTTCATGTGCCTTTTAGCCATTTGTGTATCTTCTTTGGAGAAATGTCTATTCAAGTCCTTGGCCCATTTTAAATTGGGTGGTTTTGTCATTGAGTTGTTGGAGTTCTCTATGTATTCTGGATATTAATCCCTTACAGATACATGATTTGGAAATATTTTCTCTCATTCTGTGGGTTGTCTTTTTAATTCTCTTGATTTTCTTGAATGTAAAAGTTTTTAAATTTGATGAAATCTGATTTATCTGTTTTTCGTGTGTGTGTGTGTGTGTGCGCTCTGCTGTCCTATCCAAGAAACCATTGTTAAATCCAGTGTTGTGAAGATTTTCTCCATGTTTTCTTCTAAGAAATTTATAGTTTTAGTTTTTATAGATTTATAATTTTAGTTCTTAGTTTGAGTCTTTGATTCTTTCTTTACTTTTTAAATTTTTTATTTTGACATAATTGTAGATTTATATGCAGTTGTAAGAAATAATATAGAGATATTCTATATGTATCCTTATTAGCATTTAGTTCATCTGCATTTAGTAAAATTTCCCATGCATTTGGTTTTAATTACCATCTTACTATTTACTTTCTACTTGTACTGCCTGCTCTCTTCATTTTTCTGTTTTGGGTTTGTTCATTTTTATTACATTTTTACTCTTCTATTAGCACACAAGTTTTGTGCTTATTTCCCAGTTTTTTAGTGGTTACTCTCAAGTTTAAAACATACATCTGTGTTTTACCAAAGTCTAATAGCAAGGACCTTAGAACTTCAACGCCATTTCCCCATTGTTATTTATTTTAATCCTTTCCATTTTAAATCACATAAAACATTTTATGCAATCAAACATTTATGTAGATTTTTACCTTCATATTTACTGTCTTTGTTGCTTTTCCTTCCTGAGTCTCTGACCTACGTCTGGATCATTTTCCTTCTCCCTTAAAAATAAAAGACAGTTTTAGTGTTTTCGTTTATCTAAAGGTGTTTTAATTTCACCTTTATTCTTGAAGGATACATTTGCTAAGTATAGAATCTTATGTTAATTGTTATTTTCTTTCAGCTCCAAATATATCACTCTATAATCTTGCTTCTAGTGCTTCTGTTGCAAAGTGGGTATCAGGCTTATTGTAGCGCCTTTGGAGGTAATCTGTCTTTTTCCTTTGGTTGCTTTTAAGAATGTTTTTCTTTGTTTTCTCCTTCCTTCTCGCCCTCCCTTCCTGCTTAATGTGCCTAGGTGCAATTATTTATTTATTTATTTATTTATTTAAATTTGTTTCCTTTGGTTTGTAACACTTAAGATTTGTGGCATAATGTCTTTGAATCAGTTTAAGTAAGGGTTTAGGTATATCTTTAAATTTTTCTTTGCCCTATTGCTACTTATTCTGAAACTCCAATTATACTTACCTTAGACTTTCTCACTCTTTCTTCTGCCTCTTACAGTTTTTTATCTGCCATGCTTTTTTTCTCTCTGCTTCATTCTGGATATTTTTAATTTGAGTGGACTTGAGTTTATTAATTCTTTCCATCTGTTTTTAATCTACTGTAAAACCTATTTATTACATTGTTAATTTCAGTTATTCTTTGTTCCAGATTATTTGTAGTGTGATTTTTAAAACTTTCAGTTACCTACCAAAATTCTCAATCTTGTCCTTTATCTCCTTGAACATAGTAAACTAGTTATTTGAAAGGCCAATATCTAGAGTTCCTCCTTCTGGTTTTTGTTCATATGTCGTCTCTTCATGTGCCTGGTAATTTTGATCACGTACTAGATCTTGTATTTGTGATATTTTTTGTTAAAAAAACCGCGAGACTTAGGTGAGTCTCTTTCCTTGAATTTCAGAGACTGAGGGGACTCAGAGCTGGGCTCTAGTCCCCAGGGGACCCTTTCTCATTCATTCTTACTTTTGGCTTGCTGTCTTTGTGGTCTCAACCCAAAGCAAAGTCAGTTCAGCCGGCCTTCTCCCCCCTCCGCGGGCCTTGGACTAGAGATTCCTTGTCTGTCTGTCCTTGAGAGCTCCATTGCCTCCTCTAGAATTTGCAGATTTTTTTCTGATTTCCCAATGAACTGTCAAGAATTGGGAAGGCTGACTTCACACGACTTGTAAGCTGCCGCGCAGGTGCCTGCTAGCTCCATGTTCTCTGGAGCCAGGTCTCGTCTGGCTTTCTGGTGCCCGGAGCCAGAGCACTGGCTGGTAACTCTGAATGCACAAGCCAGATAACTCACAATGGGACATAAAGGTCTTTCTTTCTGAGTTTTTTTTCTGATTTTAGAAGTAATATGTTCATTTTATAAAATTCAAATATTCCTTTTTTTCTTTATCTACATATATACTAATTTCTTTTTTCAAAAATGAGAACATAGCACTGATACTTTTTGCAGTAGTATCTTTGATATCTTTAAGTGTAAGTGCTTAAGGCTCTGCCTCGTTCTGTTGAAAAGCTACAACAGCCATATCGCGCCCAAGAAGACAGGAGCATTCAGTCCCACTGGTTGTGTGTGTGTTTCTCTCTTTCCTTGTCCACAGTGGTGTTAGCAATCTCTTTAATAGCTGGTAATCTGGTAGGTCAGCAATATCCTGTTTTCATTTTGCCTGTCTGATGGTCCTTTGTTTAATCATTTGCTCACATGCCCATCTACAAACTTCCCCTAAGTATGTTGAGGTGTGTGTCATACTAGTTTTCACAAGCAGCTTCCTGGTGGGTGAGGCCAGGCTGTTTTCCTTGTAGTGGGCAGGGCCCAGCTCTGCACCTGGTGTTCCTGGATGCTGGGGAGCATCTGCCTTCCCTCGAGTCAAAGTAACCCTTCCAGCCCCTAACCCTAGTGCTGTCACCACGCTGGGGCTTGCCTAGGTCTGCAAGAGGCAGGAGGTGTGCTGGGGTTTGGAGTTAGCCAGACCTGAATTTGAGTCCTTTAGTTGGAAGGTCAGTTACGAGGGAAGATGGTAGGAGTGGGAGGCCAGAAGGGAGCTGATACAGCTTGTGTTAAAGACCCGAGGGTCATGGGAGGTTTAGAAGACAGAGCATGAGTTTCTGCATCACACAGACCTGGGAGTGAATCGTGACCGTCCACTTACCTGCTGTGGACAAGTTGTTTTGTCTAAATGTGTTTCCATTTTGTAAAATCTGTGGCTTAAAATTGGGGTAGTAACCCTTCCACAGGATCCTTGGGCAGGAGCAGTGAGCCTGGGGAGAAAACAGGGTTGACGGGTTTGACTGGTGTTAAAGAAAGTGAATCAGAGTGCAGAAGACAGCTGGGTTGGGTGAGGTCTGGCCTCAGGCAGCCTTGGGAC